TCTTTGGCCAACTAATCTCTAGATATACAACAAATGCTTGGAAAGTCTTCTCCTGTAAGGAGATGCTAAAGTAATTCCTTTCCCCACCCCGGATGGGGAACAATTACTAAAATCCTGGATGGAAACAATTACATGTCCAAGAAGTTCAGCCATTTTATTGTGTAGCACCAAAGCCAATATTTTATGGCATGTGTCCCATTCCACGAGTCTTGATCTTCCAAAATCATAAAATGAATCTGTAATGTCATAACAGCTTGTGTTTTCTTTGTCAGTTTGTTTCTACGTCTTAGCACTGTTGTAAACTCTGAGAAGTAGAAGGGAGGATCATTTGAGAGCAAGTGGCAGTGCTTTATACGCAGCTGGTCTCAGGTTCAGTCTGGCTAAGAAAGATTTCTGCCTAAATCCTGAGAGAGCCATCACTTTTCAGAGTTGAAAGTACTATGTATGAGAGACCAAAGGTCTCACTCAATATAGGGCAGCTGATTGCATTCCCTTGATAGGACTTCACTGTGAAAAAGACTGTTGTCGATTCTTTTACCTGCAGAATACATTCTATTTTAAAGTTGATAGACAAAAACATGCAGCCAGAGAATCCGCCAATGAAACTGGTGAATGTCATTATATGTTGTACACGTTCCCATCTGCTTTCTGAAGTCTTCTTGCCACGTTAACAGTAACAGACTGGTGGGTATGTTGTAACACCTAGGTTTTAACCTGTGCCTGACTATTGCAGTAGGGGAAATGCCCTGCTGAAAAATGAAGCCTTATGTTTTCCATATTGCCAGCTAGGACAGCCACAGGAGCCCATAGGCTACCAAGGCAAGTAAAAGAACAGTGTTCAAGAGTGCAACCTCAGTGGTGGTGTGGTGGTTTCTCCTGTTTTCCACCTATACAGATATGAGCAGGGTTTTTTGTTGTTGCTGCTTTTTTGTGACTAGTGAGAAATAATGTGACATTTTCAATGTAATGAGTAGATATGCAGTATAGGAACTCTAGAAGTCGGAAGGTCACAAATGCTCATCCTTAGACCCTGGAGAGTTGCACTCACATCTATGACCCCCAACTCCCCCACAAAAATGATTACACAAATTAGTTTCCTTTTTTATTTTACCCTCACCCTACCCTCTACTGTGCTGTGTCCCTCTCAAAGCATGGCAACATTGTCCTCATCCTCCTATGGGGCACAAGATGTCTTTTTGACCAAACGTATTTTTTTCCATGAACAAAAATAATTGAAAATTTGTTTGGGGATACTGTATGGGACATATGTTGCTCACCCGTACAGTAATGCTTCCCCTACAGGCATCAATTGTTCTGAACTGCCTTTTGGCATGACAGTACTACTTAATCTTCTGTTCCACTGGTCACGTTTGCCTAGTGGATGTGATGGTGCTGCATTTAAGTGATCCTGCTGCTGCAATGCAATGTTGAGGACTAATGCTTTCACTGCTCTGCAAACGCAGTGTGTCAGGTTTTGTGGTTTTCTTCCCAGTCCACCTATGGAAGCAGGACACTTGTGATACCTGTCATTCAAAACAGCACTGAGGTTCCGCCATATTTTCTACCCTTTAGCTGCAAAAAACCTGGAGAGCACAGTTTAGCACTTGAAAACTCTTTCCTTAAATCCTCTCCACACTTTGAAAGATAAATATGATGGCTGTGCATACACCAGCGTTTCTCACCAGACACCCTCTGTGCATGGAAGATGTTTTTAAACACTTGACATGTGTGTTGGAAACCCATTTGTGCCAGGATTCCTAAATGCAAGTAGATAGATATATGGCATCCTCACTTTACATGGAAACACTAGGACAGTGTGGGGCTGTGACTTGGAGAATCAGTGTTCAAGTCCGCAATGAACCATGAACCTTAGTGGATGACTGGGACAGGAGGGCTACATCTATGACACTGCACTTATTGGAGGAAGCTGAGAGCTAAGTATACTGAATAAATAAACATCCAAGGATGTGTGGTCGGTGTTCTGTATTCCTCACCTCACATCCTTCCCACATTAACTTAATTGGAAATGTGCAACTGGTAAAGGCACTCCTTAAATATCTTACTTACCTTGAAAGTCCTGTTAGGGTCACCATAAGTGGGTTCCAACCGGACACACATAACAACAAAATATGCATTTATTATTGCAGTGTGGAGTCGCCCTCGGAGAGAAACTGTTCAACAAGATTTGAAAACTCATTGGCCTTCAAGACATCCCAGAATTCTGTTCGAGATACAAAATAGTTGCTCGATATAACTATCTGAGCAAAGTTTCAGATTTTAGCAGTTTGATGGATGACAATTACTTTAAGTGAATGAGCTCTGGCAGCTGAGAGTCTTTTAAATTTGAATGAATGACCATGGAAGAAATTCCTTGGTATTGGATAAAATGGATTGCTGTGTAATAATGATGAATGTCTTAATTGGTGAGAAAGTCATCTTATTAACTCCTCTGCATATTGAGAATTTATGGATAAGGCTGCATAAAAGATGGGAACACTGGTTTGCAAACAGTACTGTCCATCTTCCTCACATTTATGTAGTTGCTTTGCCTACATGGGCTGAAAAAGATGCCTGCCCAAGCAGATAGGTCTCAAATAACATTCAGAGTTCAAATAACATTTTAAAATAATATTTTTCCAATAAATTAGTGTAGTGACATGTTTGTAGGGGTCCATTGTTAATTTCATTTCCTTTTGCTCAGCCAGCCTGACAAGAACACAGCAAGTCATTAATCTTGCTTTAAAAGAAGATTCTCTTTTGGTGGAACAATAATGAATGACCTTGATAGGTTTGTCAAGAAAATGAATGATAATCATTTGCTGATCGACACAGCCCTAGCAGGGAAGATTAATAAGAAAGTATGTATGGACTTCATTAAAAATTTCTGCTGCTGATGGACTTGTGTATCAGTTACAATGGAGGCAATGCCCTGCAGCTAAGATAGTGCGGTTTTAATCACAATCTGCTTGCAGCATGGATATAGGAATCCTACAGTACTGACAACTCCTTTCTTGAGAAGTGCTAGAGTGAAAAATGATTTTTTTTTGTTCAACTCAAAGCCTCTGATCCATGCACAGGAGGAGGTTGAATGAAAGTTCTGGCCTATAAGGTTCTCTTAGGTAGGTGTCCTACCCTGTTCAAGTGATGCGTGCCAGCATGGTAAGTGCAGAAGTACAGGTCTCTCAGAAGGACAGTCCCTCCAGGGAGTGGAGGCAAAAAGAGTCCATAAGTGCGACCTGCTTTGTTGAGCCATATCAACAAACCTGTCAATTTTCACCACTGCTAGTAGCAGAGCTTTCAAAAGCTAAAGCTACCCGCTTAAGACCAAAACACTCTCCAATCCCTTGCATTAGAAGGATAGCATAGGTCCCAATAATACCTTTATCCCTGGGAAATCTTTGTCATTGTCCCTGTTAATTAAAAAGTATTGGAGCTTTGATCCAGTGAGCCCCATCTTGATTACACCAGCAGCCAGTCCTTACAGTAAGTTCTCATAAACTGTTTGGAAGAATTGACTTCTGGGTATGGTCATTCCAAATAGGACATATTCATTTCTAGGGTTGACTGCACACAAGATATTTGCACACAGTCATGTGCCAGAGATCACCACATGGGCCACTGGGTATTGGACTCAATAACACATGTCTGCGTGAAATACATCTAGCAAATTAACTGGACACTGAATGCATTCCTTTTGTTGGTTGAGGCAAGAGAGTACAAGAGTACATTTTATGTAGGGGGCTAGACTTTTCCATTTAGAACATACACCATGCTTACATTTTCCTTCATTATTCAGTGTTAATTGTCAGTGTTCAGACAATGTTAATCTACTTTAGTTTCATTTTGTCCAAACACTGTTTTCAGTGACCACTCACATGAATGTTTATGCCAAATGCTTACTAGCTTTCAGTGTGGTTGATACAATTTATTTCAACCAATGTTTTGAATGCAGTACTCAACAGCTTTGGAGTGGCTGCGTAATTATGCAACACATGGGAACCTGCCAAAAGAGTGCAATGAATTTAATCTTGATTTTGGCTACCTACTGTGTTCAAGGTTTCCCTGCAGCTTTCTAAGGAAACGCCATTCAAGAAAACAGCAGTCTAACTTGAAATGACATTAAGTGCATCTCTGGCTTTTAAAGTTGCATGGTGAGTTCTCTTCCTTTTTTGAGCACAGTTGTCCTGTTAGCCTGTTGTGGCAAAGTTGACATGGCATCCAGTGCTATCCTAAAAGCCCTTATCAGTCATTACTCATATGACTGACTGACCAGGCATTGTGCATATAAAAGAGCTTTATTGCTGTGCTTATGGTCCCAGTCAAATTGTTGCGTCACCTTTTGCCCGTGATTTAGAATTCAGATTGCAAAAATGTTTTAACTGTATGTGAAGATAACACAGGTACCATAGACTCCCTAGTACAAGGTTTTCCCCTCAGAATTTGTGGGCAGGTGGCAGGAACCAATGCGGACAAGGCTGAAGATAAAGCATCACAGGTTCTTGTGTTGTCCCTTTCAATAGACTAGAACCCATTTTATCACAAGCATTTAAAGGTCAAACAATGCATTATTCGAAATATAGATTCTCTGTGATTAGCGCCATCTTTCCTTGACAGTGTGATGGCCACAGAGACATGTTCTTGGACAAAGGAATTGGCAAAGAAAGCCTATGTCTACTAACTAGCAAACAATTGCAAAACAAAGGTTTCTGGAATGCAACATATGAAGCTAAGTTACATCACCACTTAAGAAAGTGCTGTATTGTCCAGCTTGAGCCTAACAGTGAAGCCATCCAAAAATGTTATCCTACAGTGATTTCCTTAGCTTCTACTGCCTCACTGAAATCCTTGCCATTTCTTTTTGAGGTTTTGAGGTCTATACAAGAGTTATTCAACTGCAGCACTAATTTCACATTTGCCTTTATGTTGCTTTCCTTGCTGATTCAAGGAGAAGCCTTTTCGTGCCCAGAAAAATAGAGACCTGGAATAAAAAACATTTGCAAGAATAATTTATGGCACACATTTGGTATATAAATTGCTTTATCTTGTTTGTTTCCATATTAATCTTTTGAGGTAGGTTAAGAGTGTTTCTCACTTGACTGACAGAAATATTAGGTTGCAAGATAATGTAGGTCAATGTCTCAATAAAAACTTAGGGTTTTTTTTGTGCCAGGATTTATAATTCCTTTCAGCCCTTCAATCTAAATCAAGCCAGACCAATCAAACCACATGATTTTTCTCAGAAATTTGGGTTCACCCAAAGTAACCCCATAAGAAGATGTTGATAGCCAAAAGAATTATAGCATTGATATTGCAAACAGCTTTCCACAGTGACTTTTCCTCAATGCTTGTCAGCTTCTTTTGAAGGGCTGCTTCCTCTTCTCTTGTTAAAGTGGGCTTGGGGCTAGTGGAGATTCCACAGAACCAGAAATAAAGTTTCTTCCAGCAAGGCTGCCTCACTTCTGTAAGTAAAATGATTGAGGAAAAGGAATTACTATGTACTGCTATTTATATATATTGTTGACATACTCAATACTTTATAAAAAGCAATTGACAGAAGAAAGTGAAATATGCAACAAGAAAAACGAGGAAGAATTTATCTGCTCCAGCCCTATCATTAGGCAGAACAAAGTAATTGCCTCAGCAAACAAATACTGAGGGGCAGCAACAGTATCCCCAATCTGTTTTTATGAATTCTTGAAGTTCTCTTCTCTTTTGGAGGACAGTGCTTTGTTTGCTACACAACCTGAGCTTGTTGCCTCATATGTGGTGGATTCTACCTTAAATCCAGTTATCTTCCTATATGCACCCTGAGGAGGGAACACTATCTTGGCCTCCTCTTTAAATAGCAAAATGCATTGGTGGGGTTTGGGAAAAACTATCTAACTTTCCCCTTCTTTGAACAATGTAAAGCTCCTGGTTGACTGAGGTGGATAGACCAGCTGAGCAGCGTTCTCTCTGAAACTAGAATGGTATGAATGTACATAACATAAACTCAATCTCTCTCTCAATCTGACACATACACATTCTTTATTATGCATGAAGGATGTTACATTTCCTTTACCGTCAATGCTAATAACCTAATCATCAAGATACCTGTTCATAAACAGATGCAAGGGCAGATGAATTAGCTCATGCGAAAACAAAGATGGCAAATAATTAACAATATTAAGTTGAACAGCTGCTTCAAATATGAATCAAGGCACCTGTCAGATCCACAGATAAAAAGTTTCCTCTTATCATTTGCTCAGGAGTTACCAATATTGGCACTTTTGGATCTCTCCAGGATGAGGTGCTACAGATTAGATTTAAAAAAACAGAATTCTTTCTCAACTGAAACAAAACAACACTACTACAACAAATATAGTGCTCCAAAATAGGACATGGGGTTCCCCATCATTCTCTAAATAAGGTATGCCCTTCTGGAAATTGGCATCAAGTGAAAAATGTCACAAAAGCATAAAAAGCAGAAATTCAAATTAGTGTCCTGTAAAAATATTGAGCTTAAAGCAAACTCCTTCCTAAAATTTGGGACATGGTAGAACTCTTCCTTTCCTAGTCTAATCTCATTTCAAAAAAAGGAGAAAACAGCTGAGGAAAAAAATATTGTGAACAATAATATGGGTTTATCCACACACCCTATATGCTCCTGATTAGGAGGTGGTTCTGTTACCCATGGGTTTGGATTTGTAAACCCACATGATGTCATTGCAGATCCCAATTAATACGTCTCCTCTTTGACAATGGGATCATTTTCTCTCAGTGGGGAACTAGGTTTGTTTGTTTGCAGACCACATCTTGTCAACATCACCTAGAGTGGTCCGGTGGGCCAGATAGGCGGGGTAAAAATTAATT